GGTGGGTCCGGGGAAAATTGTCCGGGTTGTCACAACGCAGTGGAGCATGACCAAATGGTGCTACAACTTTCGGTGCCTTCAGGCTCAATGCGAAAGGGGTGATCACGTCTTTTTTTTAACACGTGAAGTTCAAACCTGGGACACTACGGCGAGTATGAACCATACATGACTCGCTGACTCTTGAATTTCTACACTGAAGGGAGGTTACCTGGTGTGAGTCACAATGTCAGTGAGCGCCCCACCCTCGAGAAACTCCATGACAACCCACAGCTCGTCTCCCACCAGGTAGCTGTTGTACATGTCGACCACGTTCTCATGATGGTAGTCTCTCATGATCACCACCTAAAACACAGACACACAGACAGACAAACAGAGAGGGAAATGACTTTGATTATATATTTACTTGTTCAGTTTTCTACTAACGTGATTTTATTAGACTAAAATGATACCGAGCAATCACAAACCTTGGCCTATAAGTTATTTATCTATAATTCATTTATGAATGCATGTTACATATGTTACAAAGAGATCACATATTACTTGAATAATTTGTTAAATTTAGTCGTGTAATTTCATTTATTTATTCATTTAACTTTCCTTTGTCTGATGTGAACATGTTCTCAGGGCTTAACTATAAAAGGATTACACCCAGAAATTAATAGGATTACACAAAGCAAATTAGTTCCCAACTGAACACCCACTGCTTTACATCTGTGTTCACTGTGCACATGTGCTAACATACATACATGCGTACATTATCTCTCTCACACACACACACACACACACACACACACACTGGCTGAAATCCAAAATAGAAACAGGGCAATATAGCTTCATAAAGGAAACAAGAGGTCCACTCTTTACTCTGCTCAACAAGCAATCATGAAGTTTGTCTGCACATATAATTTATTTCAGTGCACATGATGTGGAGCTGATGTTTCAACAGTTAGAGCACTGTGAACAGGAACAGCTATGAATAAATTTCTTGCCGAGGGTTTTTAGTGTGAACACCACTTAATTGTACGCAAATGAATGCAATTACAGATGTAAAAATGAGCCAGTGGTTTGATTGCCATGGATACGTGTCAGGGAAACAGAGGCAAACTGAACGCATGTTTTTTTTTGTTGTTGTTAGTGAACATGCTGCTGTTTTGCTGTTGGATGGTGAGATTTATTTTTATCTATGAGGCACAAAACGAGGCATGTTTAACGATGCTATTTAAAGCTGTTTCATCTCTGCTGCGGCTTGTTTGAGCTATCAGCAATCAGACAAACGTTAGCGCTGATCTCAAATGTGCAGAGTGGGCGTCGTGCTCTTTAATCGTGTGGGTCAAGCTGACCTACAGTAGCAGTGTGACATCCAGCCTCCAAATTAATACTCTACTAACACACATATAAAACATACAAAACCAGACCTACAGTAAAAATGTTGTATAAACCAGTAACACCCAGAACAGTTTACATGTGCTGCTGTAGGTGTGAGCATGTTTAAGATAAGTGCACTGCAGTTATCTCTGTCAGTCTTTCGCACCTCATTAAAGAGCAGCTCTCTCCTCTGCTGTTTCCTGAGGTCCATCTTCTTCACAGCCACCTGCTTGCCGCTGTGTTTCTCGCTGGCGATGCACACGATACCTGTGGAGCCCTCGCCGATTTTGATAAAGCTGTCCAGGTATTCCCGAGGGTCGCCTGCGGGCAAATGCAAACATAGCTCAATTTTGATGGAACAATAGAACATAAGAAAACAGTAACATTTATGGAGGCCATTTCAGCGTCAGTTTTTACAGTCCATTTCTCACCTGGGTTGACGACTAGTTGAAGTGCAGCTCTGAACTGCTCATGAGAGACTCTGGAGGGTTGAGTGTCGGAGCTGGATCCCCAGGAAGGAGGCGGGTAGGCCCCCGGGGGGATGTAGGGTGATGAAGGCTGTGAGTAGGCCCCCTGTGTTTGAAAACACACACAGACATAAAGGGTGAGGTTATAAAATAGTCTTCATATTATCCAACAGAATGCTAAAATACTAAATAATATTAGGTAAAACATTTCCTCTGTTTTTAAAGGCTGACAATGGTCCAAAAACTATAATTAGTCTTGACTGGTGTTGGGCTTGTTCAGCTTGTAAAACTCATGCAATAAAAATCAATTTAACTCAATAACAATGACTTCCAAACAACACAAAATTGTTGCGCTTTTTCTTTTCTCCATTACCACTGTGAAAAGTTGTGGATGGTTCCAATGGAAC